GTGTGGTGTTTCAAGCACTTCTAAACAGTGAATCATTTTGCGAAGCAATTGGTTCAGTTGATTCGAAGCTTCAAAATGGTTAGTTTCTCCCATCACTACCTCAACCCATGCCTTGCTCTCTCATTGGCTGTAGTTCGTCGTGACACCTGACACCATGTGATGTCGAGTTGGCCGACAGGTCCAGATATTTAGCATATTTGTTTGGCATCGCCGTCGCGTCAACGAGCCTCTTTGATGCATCATTGAGTAGTTCGTCGTTGAGATTTTCCCACGATCACATCTCGACCTGTCGGCAAGCTGGTTGACTTGCAAATCGGGCTTAAAATCCTGTAGTGTAAACTTGGCTTAAGGGTCTGTAAACAGGAAGCTCCATATATTAATATTGTGATTGTTAAACAATTTGACAGTGGCACAAGCAAACACAATGCATAACTAGTAATTCTGAATTACTAGTGCCATGGCATTGCATTTGTAGATAATAATATGATAAACAATAATAAGATGCCATTACTTTCATAGTTTACTGCAACACTGGCATGCCACATTTCATCTATTAGTTCGGATAGTCCAATACTGGTGTATTTTGCATAATTTTGTGCAAGGCATTTTACTTTTTGAAACTTGGATCATTATTTTTCACACATAATAGGCTATCCTGACTTTAAATGAAAGCCTTTTGCATTTACATGTAGTGTAAAAATGAAAGACACCATTTGGTTGAACTATAATAGGTCAATTCACTACTGTTTGAAAATTTGGGGCCGGTAAGTCTCTTAAGCTCACCAAGGTTGCATTTATTTGATCAAAAATACAGTAAAAACTAAAATTGTGAGAGGACTTTTCTGTTTTTATATATTTTAAGATGTAACTTATTTCAGTGATGGCAAAGCTGAATTTTCAGCAGTCATTGCTCCAGTCTTCAGTGGCACATGATCCTTCAGAAATCATTCTAAAATGGTGCTCATGAAATATTTCTTAATGTTGAACAGTTGTGCTACTTAATATCTTTGAGAAAACCATGATACATTTTTTTAGTATTCTCGGATGAATAGAGAGTTCAAAATAACAGCATTTATTTTTAACATTACAAATATCTTTACTGTCACTTGATCAAATTAATGCATCCCGGCTGCATAAAAGTATTAATTGCTTAAAAAATTCTACTGATCCCAGACATTTCAATGGTAGTATGTGCTTTCACTACCAATATAATCCATAATAGGCTGCTTGCTTTAAGCAGCTTTATTAATTTAAGATTGTTATTCTCAACAAATATCAGACATGCTTTAATAAACCTTACAAACTTTATAGAAAACATTTGAAATGAGAGGTCTAATTGCCTCAAAGTACAAAGAACGTTAAGCTCTATGGTGAATTATGTATGTTGGCATGTGCTGTGTCTCATTGACTGTTTTCTTTCAGATGAAGAGTCGCTTGAAATCAACTGGCTTTGGAGTCACATCAAGTTCAGGTTACAAAACACAATAGCAGGAACCCTTCCTTAAAGGTGGAGTGTGTACTTTTTTATATTTAAGAATACTCCCAGTTTAATATGCAGAGACAGCTATAAGTAAAGTATTCACTGGTTGAGTCCCCCTAAAAGTGTAAACACTCTGGTTTTATGGCACTATCAAAACATCGCTCTGTTGGTTTGAGCAGCCTGGCATAGCAACATTGGCACAATGAATAGTGTGGGTTTGGGGCAGAGCTATCTGTGTTCGATCACTAATGACACAAATTACATACTTCACCTTTAAACCTTTTTTATGTCTTTGTAAATGTTAGGCTTTTTTTTGTATTACTGAACTTAAAAGTTTACACTTAATGACACATGTGCATGTGTTCTTGCATGCTTCTCTCACATAGAAAAGCAGCACATGCCAAAGAAAAATACATGGATTGTCATGCATAGACATTTTAGTGTTTTTTGTCATAATACACTATATGGACAAAAGTATTGGGATACACCTCTTAATTATTGAATTCAGGTGTTTCATTCAGACTCATTGCCGAAAGTGTATAAAATCAAGCACCTAGCCATGCAGTCTGCATTTAGAAACCTTTGTGAAAAAAATGGGTCGTTCTGAAGAGCTCAGTGATTTCAAGTGTGATACTGTGATAGGATGCCACTTTTGAAACAAGTCAGTTCATGAAATTTTATCCCTGCTAGATATCCCACAATCAGCTGTAAGTGGTGTTATTGGAAAGTGTAAGCGTTTAGGAACAGCAGCAACTCAGCCATGAAGCAGAATACCACATAAAGTCACAGAACAGTGTGATGAGTGATGAGGCGCATAGTGAGCAAAAGTCACCAAACACTCTGCTGAATGAATCCATAGCTAAAGAGATCCGAACTTCCATTGGCATTAATATCACCATGAAAACTGTGCAGTGGGAACTTCATAGAATGGGTTACCATGAACGAGCAACTGCATGCAAGCCTCACATCACCGTGTACAATGCCAAGCGTCAAATGGAGTAGTGTAAAGCATGCAGCTACTGGACTCTGGAGCAGTGGAAACGTGTTCTGTGGAGTGACGAATCATGCTTCTCTGTTTGGCAGCCTGATGTGTGAGTCTGGGTTTGGAGGATGCAAGAAGAATGTAACCTGCCCGACTGCATTTTGCCAACTGTAAAGTTTGGGAGGAGGAGGGATAATGGTATGGGTCTGATTTTCAGGGGTTGGGCTAGGCCGCTTACTTCCACTGAAGGGAAGTTTTAATGCTTCAGCATACCAAGACATTTTTAGACCTTTTCTATTCCAGCATGACTGTACACCAGTGCACAAAGCAAAGTCCATAAAGAGATGATTAAATGAGTTTGGTGCAGAAGAACTTGACTGGCCTGCACAGAGCCCTGACCTCAACCCCATTGAACAACTTTAGGATGTACTGGAATGGAGATTGTGAGCTAAGTCTTTTCGTCCAACATCAGTGTCTGACCTCACAAATGCTCTACTGGATGAATGAGCAAGAATTCCCACAGAAACACTCCAAAATCTTATGGAAAGCCTTCCCAGAAGAGTGGAAGCCATTATATCTGCAAAGGGGGGACCAACTCCGTATTAATGTCTGTGTATTTGGATGTTTGTATCATGTTTGTATTTAGGTCAGGTGTCTCAATACTTTTGTCCATAAAGTGTATCTGCTAATGGGGGATTTGATTCTCTACTAACATCCCAATAAAGATATTTCAAATACATACTGCATAATGAATAAAATGTGACCCATGATTATGTGAATTTCTCTAGCAAAACACACATTCAACCACTTGAGATGTTCATTTTGAATTTATGCCCACTGATTTGCTCCAACACAAAGACCTCTTTGTGTGACTTCATTGAAAATCACTGCAGTGTTCCAGTGGCAAAACAGTCTTGGCCACACATAAAGAAAAGCACTCGAATTTTAACAAGTCTTTCTTGCTTATTTTACCTGTTTTGAGAATATTTACTGTTAATATTATTTTCATTTTGTAGCACAATGTGAATCTGAATGTACACATTTTGCTATCATCTGTATAGTATAGCATTCTCAGTAGCTCTTCTAGGTGAAATTGCTGTAACAGTGCTTGGATTCAGTAAAAAGTGGCAATTTAAATGGTTGATTAGTGAATGATTTATGAGAATGCTGCTTCAGGATATGAATCTGCAGTGCACTGCATGATTGCCAGTTGTCGTGGGTGTGAGTAAGCATAACTTCTTGTACAAAGACAGACATCTCATTGTAAAAATGGTGATGTCAGCCATTTTTAATAACCCCTCAATCAAATGTTTGTCAAAGCAGCACCAAATTCTCTTAGTGTAAGGTATTGATGCTTTAACCATCACTAGGGGTTTCTAGGTGTCTTTTAGGCGTTCACACTGGCAGGCCAAATGTGTTTTTTTTTTTTTTTTAGCCCAAATGCCATGATGTACATAAGCAAACATCTCATTTCCAGTTCTCTCCCTACATCTAGTTTGCTGCATCTGGTTGGGAAAATGACTGATTGAATGAAATCTGTTGCTTAGACAGTCTTTCTTAAATATTGGACTTGAACAACAAATGTCTGCAGTGTGAACATAACCTTTTCTAGAGCTTTAGTTTGTCAGATTAGAGGGCTGATGACTTTAGATCAATGTGATGTTTGAATTGTAAATGAGTCATAACTTCAGTAATGTTCTCTCACAAAAATGTGTCATTTGATGTGGTAATAGTGCCTTGTGGTTTTGGTGTACAGAGGGATGAGCAGACATTTGTAATCACATTGTTTGGTCATATCTAATAAGTGAGCAAGAGTTGCATTCTATTGGTAAGTGTATGTTTTTTTTTTTTTTACCTCAGCATGTCTTTTGTGCATATTTAATTACCCTTTGAATGCCACATTTTTTAAAATGTTTTTAATTTCTACAATGATTTTAAATTTTTACTTTTTTCTCCAAAATTACACCTTGTACACTTTTTTTTGTTTGTTTATTTAACATCTTCATGGAGGAGTTAACTTTTAGGATAATTTTTTTTTATGGTGAGGGCATAGCATCTATAAAGAATATCCCCGCCTGTCTTGACATAGTTTTACATGTATTATTTCACATTGCAACTGTATAGTTTTATTATTAACATAATGTAATGTTTTTGTGCAAAGGCATCGGCTAGAGTCATGCATGTTAAAGAGAATCATAGATTATAATATAAAAGTTTTTTTTCCCCCTGACAAACATGGCTTTAACACTTTCTGCAATAAGTGAGAGAATCATTGGTGGTCATTTATTTAATATGTTAAAATGACCATGTTATTAAGTTTTAGAGAAATTCAGTGAATAATTACAAACATCACATGTTTAGATTATGGAGGAATTTGTACTTTAGATATTTTAAAGTTTAAAGTTTAACTAGTTGACTTTGGTGGAATCCAGTCAATTAAACACTCCTTTGATATATTTTTACGTAACTGAGAACTCTCCAAACCATGAACTGACAAATTGGAGATGTTGTGTAATTGCTCATGTTTCTTTTTGGTAGCCTTTTTCCAGGACGCTAACAAACTGCTCCTAAACGAACAAGCTAACTGGGTGCATCTAAAGGAGTTTGCCCGTAAAAATGCTGCCAACGCTCTTTCTGTTGCCAACATGCTCATGGGCATGGCCTCAATCCTCTGCAGTCTCAATGGGTATGCATTCATGCTTTTGATTTGTACTGCACAGAGAAAACCAAATGCATACAAAAATACAACAATAAAAATTCATAAAGTGAATGTTGTGTTACAGTAGAAAGAAGGAATTTCAAAGTGAAGTTTGTTTTGTTTAACTTTCTCATTGTTTTGTACTTTCTTTATGTCCCTGCCACCGTTGTTATTCACAGCCATCATCATGCCGCGTGCTGGCTGGTTCTGATCGGTTATCTGCTGGATTTGGCAGATGGAGCGGTTGCTAGGCAACTAAATGCGTGTTCTGCACTGGGTGAGCAGTGTTGAGTGTCCTTAAATACAAGGGAGTGGGGCCAGGGGTGAGTCTTGTTGCTTTAGATATCTTTAGATGCTTTCATCTACAGTCCCCTTACAGAGTACCACTTAAAAATAAAATGAAGGGAAGGAATAAATGATCAGTTCAATTCAATTCCTGGAGGGCCGGAGCCCTGCAGTTTTGTTCCAACCGTGCTCCAACACACATACCATGTAGTTTACAAATAAGCCGGAAGGACTTGATTAGTTGGATCAAGTGTGTTTAATTAGGGTTGAATCTAAACTCTGCAGGGCTCCAGGAATTGAGTTTGACTCCCCTGCTTTATATATTGGATTAATAATCTATTGGATTAATAATCCAAATGTAAACATGTAAAAAAACAAAAACAAAAAACAGTTGGCAAATTGTTGCGGAAAGCCATTTGAAATGAGAATTGAAATGTTTTTTTTATTTATTTATTATTATTTATTATAGTTTTAGAGGCATTATTACCACCATACAGTGTGTTTCTCCAGGACCACAGCCCTACAAAAGCAGACTACAAGACAAACACAGTTTAAATCTAATTAAATAAACTACTAAAAATGTAAATAAAAAATGCAAAAACAAGTGTACAAGTGCAAAAAGCATGGTACAGAACAAAGCACAGTGACGACAATACAGCGATGTCTGTTACTATGTCTGTTAGGTTGGTAACACTTTACATTAAGGTTCCCTTTATAAAGTGTTTATAAAGGTGCTCATAAATGACTAATAACTCATTTACAAATGCATTATAAATCATTGATAAGCAGTTATAAATGCATGAATAAAAAAGGTGATTTTAATGCAATACCTGCCAAATAGTGAGCCATTTTTAACTCACATGTTATAAATGCTTAATAAATATATTTATTAATACTTAGTTCATTCAAAACCGGATTACTGGTTCATTTCTTGATGCAGCAAAAATGTACTTTTATAGTGAGACTGAAGGGTGTTGTATTTGTGGTTCTCTCATTTATATCTCATGACTCATGTCACTTTTTGTACAATGTTTCTTACCAGAATCTACTCTGTACCTTACCCATGATACGCTGCAAAAGTTCATGATGCCTATCCACAGCAGTGATTAGAAACTGATATATTTTGTTTATCAAGATGAAATTATCAAACTTCATTTTGGGGCGGAAAAAATCATAAAAGCACATCCATGGCTTGATGAAATATCAATAATAACATTTTTTAATTCCAATAGTAGTTACCTGTGAACCATAATGTAAATAATTTATGAATTAATTATAAACGTTAATAACCTGTAAAAGTGAACCTTAATGTAAAATGAACAGCTGTGAACCATTTATTATTGAGTTATAAATGTTAATAACTTTTAAAAGTGAACCTTAATGTAAAGTGAACACCTGTGAACCATTTATTAATGAGTTATAAACGTTAATGTCTAAAAGTGAACCTTAATGTAAAGTGAACACCTGTGAACCATTTATTAATGAGTTATAAACGTTAATGTCTAAAAGTGAACCTTAATGTAAAGTGGATACCTGTGAACCATTTATTTATGAGCTATAAACGTTAGAAACCTGTCAAAATGACCCTTAGTATAAAGTGAACACCTGTGAACCATTTATTAATGAGTTATAAACGTTAATGTCTAAAAGTGAACCTTAATGTAAAGTGAACACCTGTGAACCATTTATTAATGAGTTATAAACGTTAATGTCTAAAAGTGAACCTTAATGTAAAGTGAACACCTGTGAACCATTTATTAATGAGTTATAAACGTTAATATCCTGTTAAAGTGAACCTTAATGTAAAGTGAACACCTGTGTACCATTTATTAATGAGTTCTAAATGTTAATAACCTGTGAAAGTGAACCTTGATGTAAAGTGAACAGCTGTGAACCATTTATCAATGAGTTATAAATGTTAATAACTTCTAAAAGTGAACCTTAATGTAAAGTGAACACCTGTGAACCATTTATTAATGAGCTATCAACGTTAGAAACCTGTCAAAATTACCCTTAGTATATATAATCATTTATTAATGAGTTACAAATGTTAATAACCTGTGAAAGTGAACCTTAATGTAAAGTGAACACACACTAATCATTTATTTATTATTAATGCACACACTGAAGGTTTTTTTTTTCCTGGTGAAATGTATTTTATTGTTGATGCACTATAAACACAACAACTTGAAACAACATTCCTGAGCATAACTGCACACGAAAAGTAGCTTATACAAGTAAACTCACATTAAACAATTCAGGGAAAAAAATCAAGTATTCCACCAAATTATAACTAAGCATCACATCTATATGACAAAAATATTATATAAATGCAAGCTCAATAAAGGCACCTAAATATTTATATTTTATCTAACTTAACAGTTTTGAAATAATCATTAAATCAATGACCGAAAGCACCGTTACAGAACATTATCATATTAATAAGCAATCAGTAATGATTTTTGATATCACGATAAAGCCCACTGTAACTTGAGTGTTTGACTATCCACACTTTCAGTACCTGCGAGCGAGCGAACCGTCCGCCGGAGAGACATCGCTGTTATTTATTTGTACAGTAACTACATTGAACTAACACAGCGATATCAACACTTGAAAAACACAGTCTGCAATGTCACCTCACAGTTAGCTTACCCGTAAAATCAGCACTTATGTGTGTGAGATTAAAATTTCACTTCAGAGCATGTTGGAACAGTCCTAACAGCGTGACTTCTTCTCTTGAAAAGTGCCTTTGTATCGAATGCTCACCAGCGCCAACTACAGGCTGTGGTACACGCAGGCAACTACAGACACAGGCTTTGGTGATGTGATCCTTTTTTATTTCCAAAATGTAACAGTGTATAACAAATAAGGCAAAAGAAGACACAAATTTGTGTGATCAGAAATTGTATAACAACAAAGGCACTTTTCAAGAGAAGAAGTCACGCTGTTAAGACTGTTCCAACGTGCTCTGAAGTGAAATTTTATCTCAGTGATTAATCAGTGTTTTCTGATTTTACGGGTAAGCTAACTGTGAGGTAACATTGCAGACTGTGTTTTTCAAGTGTTGATATCGCTGTGTTAGTTCAATGTAGTTACTGTATAAATAAATAACCGCGACGGCGCTCCCGCGGACGGTTCGCTTGCTCGCAGTTACTGAAAGTGTTGATAGTCAAACAAACACTGAAGTTACAGTGGGCTTTATCGTGATATCAAAAATCATTACTGATTGATTATTAATTTGATAATGTTATGTAACAGTGCTTTCGGTAATTGATTTAATGATTATTTCAAAACTGTTACATTAGATAAAATATAAATATTTAGGTGCCTTTATTGAGCTTGCATTTATCAAATATTTTTGTCATATAAATGTGTTGCTTAGTTATAATTTGGTGGAATACTTGATTGTTTTGTCTGAATTGTTTAATGTGAGTTGACTTGTATAAGCCACTTTTCGTGTGCAGTTATGCTCAGGAACGTTGTTTCAAGTTGTTGTGTTTACTGATATAGTGCATCAACAATAAAATACATTTCACCTGGAAAAAATACCCTTCAGTGTGTGCATTAATAATAAATAAATGATTAGTGTGTGTTCACTTTACATTAAGGTTCACTTTCACAGGTTATTAAGGTTTATAACTCATTAACTCCTTAGCTGTCACCCCCCCATTTTCAGCATGGAGACAGAAATGACATACCCAAAATAAAAAGGTTGCTGCTTATGAGTCTTTCTTACTAGATACATAATCAACATATGTTCACAAAGCTGACACTTCAAAGTTTACTGTTCAGGAATCAGAATTACTCGAACTATTATGGTAATAAAGATATATAAGCTCAAACATGAAAACAAAAATAATGAATGAATGAATAAATTATGCATTTATATAGCGCTTTATTGTGTATTGCTGTACTTTTTTAACATATTAAAAACATTTTTTAAAAGTATAAAAAAATATTTTACATTAAGGTTCACTTTCACAGGTTATTAAAATTTTTTACTTATTATTAATGGTTCACAGGTGTTCACTTTACAATA